TTCCTTCCTTCCTTCCAATTTCAAGATCAAATGTGAACTTCATAATTTGCCTTTAAAAGAAGAAGTCCCAGTAGACTGAAGAAGTCCCAGTGAGAGGTAATCTGTAGTAAGGTTATGGACCATTTGGGGTGAGGGAGCCACATGAAATGCAGAAATGAAAATTTCAGCAGTCTTGTAAACTACACATGAACTGAAATGTTCTGATCTACACAGTGGCTACATCCATAGGAGCCTTGTGCTATGTTTCAGCTGGGCATCCTGTATTCAGAAAATCTGAACTTGACCTGTGTTTAATTTCATTTCCTTCCTTCCTTCCTTCCTTTTGTCCCCATCTTTGCTGTCATTCCACAAGCAGAAGAAGACCTTTCTCTTCTCTTCTCTTCTCTTCTCTTCTCTTCTCTTCTCTTCTCTTCTCTTCTCTTCTCTTCTCTTCTCTTCTCTTCTCTTCTCTTCTCTTCTCTTCTCTTCTCCCCCTACTCCAAACACTGGCCTTTTACTTCAAGACTAGACTATCCAGCAGACTAACAATACCTAAGGCTTATGATTTATAGTCTCTTCATAGAATTCTGCTCATAAAAACAAGTATATAAGTTCTTCAAGCATGAGGGCCTTTCTGCTCAGAGAAGAAGTTTCTGTCCACTCTATTCCCTCCCCCCCCCAAGTTTTTGTTTGTTTGTTTCCTTCCTGCATATAAACATGTACTCTGGACCTTATTTTTCTCTATGTAATTTTCCAAGTGTCTGCACTAGTGTACATTTCCCACTGATAAGACTAAAGTATTAGTCAGAAAGTATATTTGTGTACATTTTCAAAAATACATACATATGTTGAGTGGTGTGCATTTATTTGCTTCTTTTGCCTTTCTCCTTGAGCAAGATACGGGCCTACTCTTGATAATGGTGTTGCAGATCATAAATAGGTTGGGAAACACTTTCAAAAATTTGTTAATGCTAATGTCTATTCAATTCAGTTTATATTTTTTATGTAGCCACACATCTTAAGATATGTCTTGCCATTTATACCAAAAGCTACATAAATTCTCTTCTATTTGATGATGTACACTAGGAGGTCATACAAGATGTGCATTTGACCCCACTCTAGTAAGAATGACCTATATA